GAGTATGGATATATGTTACAGTAATTACGATAATAATAGCATATATCTTTGTTCAGTGGTTATTATGTGCTAGGCACTGTTCTAAGTGGTTTACATGTTAAGTCATTAAACCTAAAACCCCATGAGATGTATGTATTATTATTCACATTTTGCAAATGAAGAACTGGAAGAAGACACAGAGTTGTTAACTAACTTTTTCATGGCCATATAGCTGGTAAGTGGTAAATATACTTACTATGTAAAGCTACCTATAGAAAAAGCCTATAATGACATGTAAAGACTTTATACTTATGGCACTATTTTCATGTGTTTTCATTATCTTTTATAATATTAAAGTTAAAAGATTATTTTACATTTCAAATTGATTACTTGTTATCTGATGTAAAGTTATATATGTGTGGGTACATGCAAGGGTATATGTATCTATATTTGTATTTATGTGATATTTAAGAATACATATATACACATAAATATGTGAGTATACACACCTAGTTGTTCATTTGTGCATTAAGAGATATCTGGAAAAATTTCTTCCAAGATAATAAGAAATAGTTGTCTCTGGGTTGTGGGGTGTGTGTGAGTGTGTGTGTGTGTGTGTGTGTGTGTGTGTGTGTGTGTGTGTGTGTGTTTAAAATGATTTTGTCCAATAATTATGTGTTATTATTGAATTGAATATAGCTATATTCACCTTGCAGACAAAACAAAGTGTCTTCTTACTTTTGAATTTAGACATGTTCCTAGCTCATATCTTGTATGGATTTCTCTTATGGAAAGGCTTTATGTACAGTTTTTCCTCTACTGTGGAGTGTTTTGCAAACTGTAAGAACAGTATTTATTGACCTGAGGGTTTTACCGTGTTTTTGACCTTGACTTTAGATTTCCAAGGTCATTTCTGGTTTGAAGTCTGTGATGTCTCAACAAATCGATATTTACCAGCTGATGATGGTATAAAACAGGTCGTTGGCAAACCGTGTTCCATAAGCCACGTATTGCCTTCTATCTGTTTTTGGATCTCATTTTATAGATGAGCATTGGAATCTATTTGATGATAATACTAGCTCAGAACCTCAAATAATCAAAATACTGTCTCCTATAAAATAAGATTCCGTTCTTCTCCTTAGTAGACCTATATTACAAAAAAATTATGCTCAGTAAAAATTTTGTCAAAATTTGTTTTCCTCCTTGTTATTATAAGTGCCTAGTTGGTTTTGCTTCCTTGCCCTCAAAGCCTACAATTTTATTATCTGGCCCTTTACAGAAAAAGTTTGCCAAAGCCTGTTCTAAAAGGAACTTGCATTTTCTCATGTCCACACTGATTCTCTGCTTCAGTTTCATAGCATTTTGAAATCTAAATGGCCATGCAGTGTATCCCTTGCTGTCTAAATCTGCTTGGATTGGGTCAATTCCTGGATTTAGGACAGCGAATAGTCAGTGTTCTTCAAAAAATAATTATCTAAATATATTTGCTTCATAAATTCAAGAGTAGGTGTTTGAATAGTACTTGTTTGGTACCTTCACTTGTTGAACTTCTTTTTATAATAATTGTCCGATCTGTACATGGTCAGTGTTATTTGTCATGATATTTGGTATTGTAGAGCTAAATCAGAGATGCAACTCTCATATAGCTCATATAGCTCTCCTCTAGAACATCTTAACTAGAAATATTTCAAAATTGAGGTCCAAAAATCATGCAAATGACATCTTTTTATTATTAGTTTACCATTTTGTATCATCTTTCTTGTTTTTTAATGATGTATGAAAAACCACCCAACTTGTTTGATAATACCAACAGTTGTATCATGCTGCATTTTGTGGGTAGGCGACGTGTTATCTTCCGTAATGTTATTTAAAGGATTAAACTTTCTCTAGTCTCTTGACAGCTAGTATCTTTAGCAACCCGTCTCTGCTCATTTATGTATCCTGATGTGTCTTCAAGGTCACAGAGCAGAACCAGAGCTCTAACAGCAGTTTTCTAAGTAAGCATTTCGGTGGGATTCTGTCTTCCTGCCTTGATAGTGATTGTTAGCACCACCTCATATCAGAAGTATTCCTAAAATGAAAGAAGGAAACTTCTTTCATTGGCAGATCAGGAAGTGGTCTTGATTATAAGTGTTTTGGAAAAAGGTTTTAGATAACACTGTGGATGGAACATAAATTACCCAATAAGCCTGAAGATGCTTTTCTTTATATATTTGATGCTGGCTTGTGTTAATGCAGTTGATATTATGGTATTATATTAAATTCCCTTGATATTGTGTTTGTTTTCTCTTGCTTCAACTATTAACACTTTTTGTTGTCCTGCCCCTTCTCTTTCTCTTGCTTTTCTATAGGTCTCTTTAGTTGAAAGTTATCATAGGCAAAAGACAGAGGTAAAACACTTATGGAGAGACTGTTTATTCATAATTCTTGAATTCCTGAGAGTTAAATTTGTCAAGTATCAGGAGATTCTTTAATGATATTGTTAATGTGTCATTTGTCACAGTAATTGAAATAGACAGCCATGCAGTTGAAATTGGGTTTATCCATGTATTAATAATTTTTGTTAGCAGTAGTCCACCAAAGAAGTATCTTGTCTTGATGTATAAGACTAAATTGGGGCCGGCCGAGTGGTGCGATGGTTAAGAGCTGGCTTGGGACACCAAGAGGGCCCCGGTTTGGATCCCACATATGAGGGCCAGTGACACTGCCCTCTACAGCTAAGATGCAGAACAACAGCTCAACCAGGAGCTGGGCTGCTGTGAGTTGCTGGCGACGGCATAGGCTGCAGCCCTTGTGGCAGTGGGTTGCCATGGGCTACCGTGTGTAGCCAGCAGCCAGCGTGAGCGGCCAGCAGCCACTGTGAGTGGCCGTCCAGAGGCCGGCGACTGATCTGCCTCGCCCGGGAAGAGCACAATGATGGTGCCACAACTTGGGCCAGTGAAGCAACGTCCTCCACAACTAGACTGAAGAACAAAAGGACAGCAACTTGTCTGTTCCCCTTCCCCCAATTCCCCAATAAAAATCTTTTTTTAAAAAAAGCCTAAATTCATTTGTTTTTTTTAAATTTTTTTTTATTTCAAAGGTTCCAAGCTTTTTTAGAGACTTGTACTTTGATGAATACTTGTAGCTTTTGTTTGTGGAATATTTCTGGAATTTTAATCTGAGTTTAGGTTTATTGGAGGATGTAATATATTGGAAAGTTGGCTTCTCAGACTGCTTAAGGAGTTTTACTTAACTCATGTTGTTATAATGATAACTAATAGATTCATATTCATATTCATATACAAGTGTACACATACATGCATTTTTCATATTAAATCCCACTCACGAATATTTTATGTTTATTCTTCCATACTTTTACATTGTCTGGATTTTTTTTTAAGCACTGTTTGATGAATGTTTTATGTGGTAGAAAATTATTTTAGTTTATCATTTGGTGAATGTGGAAAGTCTATGACTTGCCTTTCTTTTAGCGGCTATGCGTGAAAATGGTTAAAACAATATTGAATTTTACCTGGCTTCTTTTTAAATATAAAAATAAATGCAGACATTTTGATCAAGTTGTCACCATTAGATTGATATCAAGATAAAAATAGCAAATTCAATTTCCCAATTTGAAAACACTGGAACTTCTATATTCAGTGCTGGCTAGTGTCATACAAATTAGTGACTAACTTTCCCTAGATCCAGCCTTTTGCCAGCCATTTGTTTTATAAGTAAGTTTTTTTTTAACATATCTGCACTCATTCATTTACATATTTTCTATTGCTATTGACACTAGAATAGAATTGAGTAGTTGCAACAACCAACAGAGATGCTATGACTTGCAATCATTGCAGATACATAAGTTGTGTTTTTTTTTGTTTTGTTTCTTTTGTCAGTAGAATGTTTTTTTTGTGTGTGTTTTTTTAAAGATTTTATTGAGGAATTGCAGGGAGGGGAACAGCGTTGGGGAATCGGGGAAGGGGAACAGGCAAGTAGACAAATGCTGTTTTGTTCTTCAGTCTAGTTATGGAGGACGTCGCTTCGCTGGCCCATGTTGGTATGATCATTGTGCTTTTCCCAGGGGAGGCAATCCGTCGCCGGTCATTGGTCGGCCGCTCACAGCGGTTCCC